GCGCCACTCCCCTGTGGGAGCACACTGACCACCAGGGGGCAGCTCCTGCATTGAGCGCCTGCCCCCTGGTGGTCAGTGCATGTCATAGCAACATGTGGTTCCACCGTTCAGTCGATTTGCATATTAGCCTTTTATTATATAGGATAAAGTCTTTTTTTTAAATATTTTTATTGATTTTTTTACAGAGAAGAAGGGAGATAGATAGAGAGCTAGAAACGTCAATGAGAGAGAAACATCAACCAGCTGCCTCTTGCACACCCCCTACCGGGGATGTGCCTGCAACCAATGTACATGCCCTTGACCGGAATAGAACCTGGGACCTTTCAGTCTGCAGATCGACGCTCTACCACTGAGCCAAACCAGCTTTGGCTAGGATAAAGTCTTATCTTTCGCTAACTTCATCTCATCTGCAGTGGCTTCATGGCCCGCTTGCCGTGTGGTGGATTTGTGCCTATGGGATTTCAATAAGGCTTTTGGAATTTGGGTTTCCAGCCTCATGTGGAGGGGCAGGGTTTTGTTTCCCCTTGTCTTTCTCTTTCTCTCTGAGCTTGCCCTGCCTGTCCAGGCTTGGATTGTTGTTGCCTCTACCCAGGTTTGCCAGCCCACGATCCAGAAGCAGACCTCACAGTGGCGTTTTAGGGTTCCTCCTCGGACACACTGGGGACATTCGGCCTCAGGGGAGGAGCCAGCAGGAGGCTTGCTTCAGCATTCGCTGTGCACGCAAGAGCTCTGAATCCCTGTCCTCCCTCCCTGCACCCACCGCTTTCTCTAAGCCGCAGTCCCAGGCAGGGACCCTGCCACTTTATTTTTTTGCTCCCCAGTGGCAGAGTGCCATCCTTTGTCGCTGGCTTCAGACAGAGGCCTGGCTCAGGTTCTGTCTCTCGTGGTGTCTACTTGGACCCACAGCCCCACGCCCTTGGCTTCAGCCCTCTCGCATTGCTCTGTGAATGGAGCAGAAGTTTCTGTTGGTCTGTGGTTATGGTTGTTATCTAGTCCCATGCAACAGACACTCCATGGCTTTGTGGCTCAAAACAACCGCCGTTTTATTGTGTCAAGATGTTGCGCTTGCCGAAACCGTTTGGCTCAGTGGACAGAGCGCCGGCCTGCAGACTGAAGGGTCCCAGGTTCGGTTTCTGTAAGGGCACGTAGCTTGGTCTCGGGCACATCCCCGGTAGAAGGTGTGCAGGAGGCGGCTGATTGATGTTACTCTCTCATCGATGTTTCTAACTATCTCTCTCCCTTCCTCTCTGTAAAAAATCAATAAAAAATATTAAAAAAAAAAAAAAAAAAGATGTTGCACTTCAGGTCACCAGATCCACCCGGGTCAGGGCATATACTCCGGTTTTGGGCTCAATCTCCAGTAGGGGGCGTGCAGGAGGCAGCTGATAGATGTTTCTCTCATGGATATTTCCATCATCGATGTTTCCATCTCTCTATACCTCTCCCTTCCTTTCTGTCTCTCTCTCTCAAAAAGAAAAAGAAAGAAAAGAAAAAAAAGGGGGGGGGGGAAAGTGCCTGAGGCAAATGTTTAAATTAGTAATAGCCCAAGCAACTCACCCTCACACAGACCTAACACCTTCTATACCAAAGAGGCCTCAAGGGGGCAGCAGAGGAGCAAAGGCGCGATGCCCCTTGGCCTGGGCTGGCGATTCCAACTGGCAGGATGTGTAGGCAGCTCTGGGTTTGCAAAAGCTTGACCTACAAAGAACAGCTTGACGCCCACCTTTGGCCTCGCCGCTAACGCAGAGCAGAAAGTACATGCAGACGGTAGAAGAGATGTCTCCATAACCTGCGTGGTAGCTCTCAAGTAAGGCTTCATGCAGGAGCCTGGAAACCTACTCCCCTTTTATAGCTTCACGGTTTTAGGAAAATGCCTCCATATCTTGTATCTATCTTGTTGAAAACCATCTGGGAGGGGGAGGCTAATAATGTGCACTAAGCTCTTTCTTTGTATCAGGCACATTTTATGCATTCTGTCAGTTAATTAATCCTGACAATAGTCCTCAGAGGTAGCTACTATGCTTATTTTTTTAAAATATATTTTTATTGATTTCAGAGAGGAAAAGAAAGGGAGAGAGAGAACCATTGATCGACTGCCTCCTGCATGCTCCCTCTTTGCCCATTTTTTAATTGGATTGTTTTCCTTTTGTTAAGTTTTATGAGTTCTTTATATATTTTGGATATTAACCCTTTATCAGCTGTATAACTGCCAAATATCTTCTCCCATACAGTGAGCGCTCTCTCTCTCTCTCTCTCTCTCTCTCTTTTTAAAATTATATTTTATTGAATTTTTTACAGAGGAAGAGAGAGTGATAGAGTTAGAAACATCCATGAGAGAGAATCATCCATCAGCTGCCTCTTGCACACCCCCTACTGGGGATGTGCTCGCAACCAAGGTACATGTCCTTGACTGGAATTGAACCTGGGACCTTTCAGTCCGCAGGCTGACGCTCTATTCACTGAGCCAAACTGGTTTCGGCGCTTATCTCTATTTATTTATTTTTTTTTTTCAGATGAGGAAACAGGCCCAGAGAGGAGAAACCATTTGCCGAAGGTCACACAGTGACTGTGGGGGGAGACAAGACTTTCATCCAAGAATATCTGAGTTTGGAACTCAGGTTCCTAAGCACCACCCTTCCTGAGATTTGATTCATGGGTGTGATCGAAGCTTAGTGCGGGAAGATTAGGGACAGTGTCTAAGTTCTTCAGTCTCATGCCCCGATGCCCAGCACCAAGCCTCCTGCAAGGTGGGCTCTGAAGAAATATTTATTGAATGAATACATGAATGACTATTAGTCACTGATCTGAATATCACTCACCGATTTGGCCCATCACACTTGCACACATTTTCCCCCTATGTTATAATTTTAAAATTAAATATAATTTACATATAGTGAAAATTACCCTTTTTATGGACAGTTCTGCAAGTTTTGACAAACATAGTTAGTCAATCATGTAATCACCATAAAGAAGAGATAAAATGGTTCTATCACCCCTCTACATTTCACATGCTGCTTAGAAGTAAATTCCACACCCTCCCCTGTCACGTCAGCCCCCTCCTAGACCCTCCCAGCCCCTGGCCTGTTTTCTCTCCCTATGCTCTTGCTTTCACCTGAATGTCACATGAAGAGAAACATGCAATCTGCAGTCTTTAGAGTCTGGCTTCTTTTTAAAAATATATATATTTTATTGATTTTTTAAAAATAATTTTATTGGTTTTTTTTACAGAGAGGAAGGGAGAAAGATAGAGAGCTAGAAACATCGATGAGAGAGAAACACCTATCAGCTGCCTCCTGCACACCCCCCACTGGGGATGTGCCTGCAACCAAGGTACATGCCCTTGACCGGAATCAAACCCGGGACCCTTCAGTTTGCAGGCCGACACTCTATCCACTGAGCCAAACCGGTTTCGGCGAGTCTGGCTTCTTTCACTGAGTATAATGCATTTGAGGTCCACCCATGTTGTATCCATCCTTGGTGCCTTATTCCTGATTAGCATTTTACTATACTACATGGCCGTTCACAGTTTATGTATGCATTTCCCAGGTGAGGGACGTTGGAGTTGTTTACAGGTCTTGGCTATTAATAAAATAAAAACTGCTGTAAATATGACTGCAGGCAGTTTTGTGTAAACATAACTTTTCATTTCTCTAAGGTGAGTACCGAGGTAAGCAACTGCAGACGCGTGTGGTAAATGCACAGGTAGCTTCATAAGGAAGTGTTTTCCTCGGTGGCTGTCCCATTGTGGTATTCTCACCAGAAATGTCTGAAAGCTCTAGATGTGCCCTGGCTGGTGTGGCTCAGTGGGTGGGAGGGTCACCCTGTGCACCAAAACGTTTCAGGTTTGGTATCTCATCGGGGTTCATTCGGGAGGCAGACCATGGATGTTTCTCACTTCTCTCTCTCTCTCCTCTGTCCTTTCTCTCTCAAATCAATAAAAACTTATCCTCGGGTGAGGATTACTTTTTTAAATGTACATAAGGCGCTCTCACGCCCACTACGCATTTCCTCTGGTGTTCTGACATCACAGAAGGCAGGATGCAAACACCTCTGAGATACCCCCCTCCAACCTGCTCCTGGGACCCCCGGAGGCTCCCTGGCGGCACAGAGAGAGGCCCCAGGACTGCAGGCCGCGAAGGGCCACACCTGGACGGTGGCTCCTCCCCCCGCACTGCGCCCCCAGCCTGGGTTTCCCTGAGACCTAGAGCCCCAGCCTGGGCTGCCGTGGGGTAAGGGGCACTGGGTCCATTTACTGAGCACCTACTGTGTGCCACGCCCTCGGCCACCACGGGGAGCACGAAAGACCAAACCTACGGCCCCCGGGGGACGACAAAGAACAAATCATTACACACGGCATTCCTGGGTTAAGGGACAGGGCAGGGCGCGGGGGTGGGGAGATGTCCATAGAGAATGCATGGCCCCCGCTCAGCCTCCTCCTCTGCGCCCGGGGCTGGGGGGGTGGGGGGAGCGCAGACACGGGGACCCGCATGACGTCAGTGCAAAGCCAGGCGGCCGGGTCCTCCGTGGAGCGGGGCTAGGGGGCTCCGAGAGGAGACTTAGTCCTTCGCAGCTCATTCATTCGTCCCCGAAATCCTCCTGCGGCACCTACTATGTGCAGAGCCCCTCGGGGGAGGCCGAGCGCCGTCCCTGCCTCTCCTACATCAGAGGTAGACAGAGCGACAGGAGACAAGCCCATACATAAGGGAGGTGGTAGGATAGCTTAAAAAAAATAAAAAAATAAAATAAGGGGGTGGTGTCAGCCAGAGCCTCAGGCTGGGGCGGGGGGTGGGGTGCAATGGGGGAGGGGGCCAGACAGCCCCACAGCCCCGGGGGGACACATCCCGCCTCTATTGCACACACACCTCCTCCCCACCCGCCCGCCCCGCAAGGAGGTCACCGCGAGCGAGCGCGCCCCCCGCAGGCCCCGCGGCGGACGGCCGCGCCGGGCGCTCGGGGCGCGCTCAGCCCGCGCACAGCGCCCCCTGGCGGAGCCGCGCGGGCGGGCCGGGCTCCGGGCGGGGGCGCCGCGCAGGCGCAGGGCCGGCGGCGCGCGGAGCGAGGGGCGCCGCGGGTGCAGCACGATGGAAGGGGGTGCGTACGGAGCGGGCAAGGCCGGGGGCGCCTTCGACCCCCTCACCCTGGCCCGGCAGCCGCACACCATCCTGCGCGTCGTGTCCTGGGTAAGGACGGCGGGCCGGGCGGCGCCGGGGGCGGCCGGGCGGGCGGGGGCGCGGTTAACGGCGGCGGCGGGCGCGGGCGGACCCGGACCTCGGACCCCGGACCTGGGCAGGGCCGCGGCCCCCGGGGGAGCGGCTCTGGGGGCGCCCGGTGCCCGCCCCTCCCTCCTCCTCCTGGGCCCTGGGGCGGGGGGCTCGCCGCTCGCGGGGGCCGGGGGACTCGCCGCTCGCCGTTCCCGGGCCCCCTCTTCCCGGGGCGGGGGGACCCCAGTCCGTGCGCTCCGCCCCCGCCCCCGGCGCCGCCGTGACCTCCAGGCCGCGGCCCTGCGGCGCGCGGCTCGGGTTGCGCGGCCGCCCGGGCGGACCGGTGGCCGCGGGGCCGGAGCCGGGTTTCAGGGGCCTTTTTTGGGGGCGGGTCAGGGCGGGGAGCCTCCCTCCGGCGGGGTGCACGCCGCGCCCGCGGGCCGGTTCGGAGGGGAGAGGACGGGCCTCCATGGAGCGATGCCTCGGGAGCCAGATGCCGGGAGCCGCCTCTCCTGCGCGGCGTGACCTTGGGCTGGAAGCCGCCCAGGAGGGAAGCCTGGGGTTACGTTTTGAAGCCGGAGGGTCCCCTCCTCCCGCGGCCTCAGTTTCCCCGTCTGGGAGGAGCCTCCTTGAGGCATCCTTGAGCTCGGGAATCCCTGCATCACCTTCCCCCGCCCCCCACCACGCACCTGGGTGCCTTGGGGTGGGGAGGCCCTGGGGAAGGGCCCCTCCCCGCAGTGAGAGCGGAAGGGCCTATTCTGGGCCTTCAGCCTGGGGGGTGGGGGGGCCGGACACCCCAGGACAGAGGGCTGCGTGGGGTCCCGGTTCAGACGGAGAGGGAGGAGAGGAGGCCGGGCCCGGGGAGGGGTGCCAGGGCTGCGGCAGCACCCGGGGCAGGAGGGCTTGCTGAGGTCGGGGAGGGAGGCACCTGGGCTGCCCAGGGCTGGCTGGCCAGTGCCCGGACGCCCTCACTAGAGGGTCTTGCTTTTTCGGCCCGGGGACAGTTCCTGTGCGTCCAGACAGGAGGTCCTGGGTGCGAGGTGCTGGTCGGGGACCCCAGGGGGCTGCACCTATAGCCAGCGAGGCCTGGGGGCTCCAGCTCCCTCCTTTCCTGGGCTCTCAGGGCCACATTGGGGTCCCGTGGAGCTACCTTTTTTTGGTCGAAAACCCATTCAAACCTCTTTGCGTCCCAGGAAGTTGCTCACCTTACGGGGACCCGCTCTGACAGGCCAGGGGAGTCCTGTACTGCTCCTCTCTGGCTCCCTGGTGCTGGCACAGGGCCTGGCACCCTTGGCACACCCAGGAGGGTCTGTGGCACTGAATTCATTCGCCTTTGCCAGCCTCCCTCCCCAGAGACCCAGCTGGCCTTTGGCGAAGGTGGAGCTCGAGGCGTGACCTGGGCCAGGTGGGCTGGCTGCGTGCCCCTGGCCTGGGAGGGGGCTGGGCAGGTCGCCTGCTGGGTCACTGCTGACTGTGACGGCTTCCTTTAGCAAAGCGTGATGGAGCCTGCCGGCCCCGAGGGAAGGCGGGTGACTCAGACTCAGATGCAGCCCTTGGCCCCACTGTGGGGTGAGCCAGGCACCCTCAGGCCGAGGGGTGAAAGCAGGAGAGGGGGTGTCCTGCCTGCCTCGGGAATCAGAGAGATTTCATCGAGAAAGGGATGCCAGTTCGGGCCTGGCGGGGTGAGGAGGGTTTGCAGATGTGCACCTTGGGGTGCGGGGAAGACATTCCCTGCAGGAGGAAGGAAAGGTAACTTTGGATGAGTACTGCCAAGTGCAGGGGCCTGTGGAGGTTACCCAGTGGGCCCTGCGGCTGCCGTGTCACACTGGGAGAACCTGGCCTCAGGGAAGCCAGGGTTACTGAGCATGTCGGTGGGAGATGGAGAACCGGAACCCACATCTTCCTGCCTCCACAGCCTCCTCACCCTGATGCCTTTGTATAGAGATTCTTTTTCTTTTTTTCTATTATTTTAAAAATATATTTTTATCCACTTCAGAGAGGAAGGGAGAGGGAGAGAGAGCTAGAAACATCAATGATGAGAGAGAACCACGGATCGGCTGCCTCTTGTACACTCCACACAGGATGGAGTCTGGAACCCAGGCATGGGACTTGACCCGAATAGAACCGAACCCCAACCACTGAGCCGCACCGGCCTGCCTAAATATAATGTTCTTTCTTTCTTTCTTTTTTTTTTTTTTAAATATATTTTATTGATTTTTTACAGAGAGGAAGGGAGAGGGATAGAGAGCTAGAAACGTCAATGAGAGAGAAACATTGACCAGCTGCCTCTTGCACACCCCCTACCGGGGATGTGCCGGCAACCAATGTACATGCCCCTGACCGGAATCGAACCTGGGACTTTTCAGTCCGCAGACCGACACTCTATACCACTGAGCCAAACCGGTTTCGGCTATAATTGTTCTTTCTGGTCATAAAAGTGAAACCTGTCAGTTATAGGAAAATATAAAAATCACTTGTGATGGTTGCACAACAGTTTAAATATACTAATATCACTGATCTGTACACTTAACAATAGGTAAGGTGGTAAGCTGTATGTTATGTGTGTTTTATCACAATGAAGAAAAATTTGGAAAAAAGAAATCAGGTGCCCAAGCTGGCTTGGCTCGGTGGATAGTGTCAGCCTAAGGACTGAAGGGTCCCAGGTTCGATTCCGGCCAAGGGCACATGGCTGGTTGCAGGCTTGATCTCCAGTAGAGGGGGGGTGTAGGAGGCAGCCAATCAATGATTCTCTCTCATCATTTATGTTTCTATCTCTCTCTCCCTCTCCCTTCTGCTCTGAAATCAATAAACTATGTTTAAAAAGAAAGAAAAGAAACCATGTGAAATCCCACCATTTAGGGTGGGGCTGCTGTCTCCTTCCAGCCTTTTTCCTTTTTTAAATGATTTTTTGAGAGAGAGGAAGGGAGAGGGAGAGTGAGAGAGAAACTTCAATGTGAGAGCATAACATCGATCACACACACACACACCCCCTGGGGATCTAGCCTGCATGTGCTCTGACCAGGACTCAAAACAGGAAACCTTTCAGTGTACCAGACGCCCAACCCACTGAGCCACACTGGTGGGATGTCTTCCAGTCTTTTTGGTATGTTGGGGAGCATGCCCCTCCCCCTCCTGCTCCCTGGTACCCCGGGCGGAGAGCTCCATCTTCACTAACGAAGCCTGTGCCCCAGGGCAGGGGGACCAGTCCTTCCCGGTTTGCTGGCATTGGCAGTGCCAGGTGCTGGGAGCCCCCAGCCTCAGGCAAACCCAGCCTGCTGGCCACTCTACCCAGGACTCCTGTGCGGCCTAGGCTCCCGCAGCCCCGGAGGCAGAGGCGCCGGCCGGCCCTGTGAGCAGTGGGCGGGTCATTCTGTAATATCTGTAAGAAAATCTTTTTCTGAAAGAGGTCCCCAAACCATCTAAGCTTCAGGGTCTCCCCAAACCTGGGCCCGCCCTGGAACCTGAGCCCTCTGAGCCCCCAGGCCCTGCTGGGGCAGAAGCAGGCCCCAGGACCCCCTGTCTCAGCTCCCCTCTGCCTCTGTGCCCCCCCTCCCTCCTCCCCCGCCCCCCCCCACACCTGTCAGGTAATTCCATGTCGGTAAAGGTGGGGGGAGAGCTGGTGAGCCCTCCAGCAGCCCTGCCCTGGGGGAGGGGGATGGCGGACTTGGGACAGTGGGTAGGGCCAGCCCAGAGCTGCTGCCTCTGAACCAGGCTGTGGGGAGATGGGGCTGTGCTGGGGGACAGGGGCAGGGGATCTGCTGCCCCTCCCTGCTGTGCCCACCCCTGTGCCCCATTGCCCCCTCTGCCTGTAGGGGCTCCTCTTTGCTGGAGCCGAGTGGGAAACGGGGCTCCAGCAGGGAACTGGCCGGTTTGACGTGAGGGACCACCTTCTGTTTAGAATTCTTAGTCTGTCAGGGGTTCCCGTGGGGAGGGATTTTGGTGCTGGTAGATGAGAGGGCGTTTTAAGTGCATTCCCTGTCTTGGCAACATGAAGCAAGAAAATGTTTGAGGCTTTGCCATTTTCGGGGCATTGGGGGTTCTGTAAGTGGGGTGTGTGGTTCCCCCAGAAGACAGGAGCGAGGCACAGTGTGGAGGGAACGTGTCTGCCCATTCCAGGCTCGGACTGTCGGGCGCAGTTTGAAGCCAGTCTCCGGGGTCCCCATTCAGTACACACTCCCCGTGGCTGCCCTGCCTGGGTCTGGGGGCACCAAGGGGCAGCTCATCAGCTCATCGGGGAGACTTTACACCCTTTGTCTTCATCACCCCACCCCTTAATAATCACAGTTAACACTGAGAGTAAAAGCTGACCTCACTCTGCAAACGCAGCGGCTTCAAGACCAGACCCCTTGTCCCAGCTCCGGACTGGATGGCGCGCTCTCGTCATCAGCCTCAGGGGTCCCAGTGGGGACAGAGCCTCCAGCCTTCATTCGTTTGTTCCACGTGTGCCAGGTCCCCGTCAGTGCCAGGCTGTGTCCCACCGGATAGGCGCTCAGTCCAGTGAGAACAGGATTGAGTGGACAGGCACAGTCTCGGAGGCCTGGGGCGCTACAGAAAATCCAGTGGATTGTAGCTACCTCTGCTGGTGGAAGCATGGAGGGCTTCCAGGGGGAGGTGGCTCCCGAGCTGATTCCGATAAAGAAGTGGGGAGGGGAGCAGAATGTGCTCGAGGTCTGAGTGGGCTTTGGAAATGATGGTGAGGTCTTGGGGGCCCCGGTATATTAGTGAGAACAATGAGTCAAAAGGCAAGTAGGGGGAGACAGCCCAGGCAGGGCCTCGGGGGGCAGGCACACGAGCTGGACTTGATCCGAGGGCCCTGGGGAGCCATGAGGGTTTTAAGCAGAGAAGAGCTGTGTTTCGGAAGCTCCCTGTGACTGCCAGCGTGCCGAGGAGAGGGCTCTGGGCAGGTGTCCGGCAGGAAATGTGTGGTCTGTCCAACCTGTCCTCTCCCCGGCACCTCCCTGTCCCTCCCTCAGAGAGCG